CGACCGAAGGTCAACCGCACCCAGGAAAACAGGCACGTGGACGCCTTGGATTGGTTTGAGACGCTCGTAGACAGCAGCCTCGTGCTCGAGATCTTGGATGAAAGCCCGCACCGTGCCCTTGCTGACAAAGGTGTAGCCATGCGAAAGTAGGGTCACTTGGAAAAGCACACCCCGCGCACCACCCTCCCCCAATGGCCTGATCCCGTCGTCAAGAGACTGTTTCAGCTGCATCCAGAGTAAGCGAAGCCACTCCTCGTGATTGACAGGATGACGTGCGCGTGCGCGTGCGCTGGCGGGAGCACAGCTCTTGCAGTGAAGTGCCACGTTCGGGCACTTTGGGTCGAGAAAACCACCCTTGACCATCCCGAGAAGACATTTCTGCGTACAATAGTGCCGACCCTGCTCGCCGCCTCCTCCGCGCGGCCGTAACGCCAGTCGCTGGCTCCGCCTAGTTCCTTGTCTCGTGTTTCGTCCGTTTGGCGTAGGCGTGTCCGGTGGAGGGGGCGGGGGCGCCGACTCGTCATCAGATGGTTCCTGCCCGTCGTCCTTCCTCAACGACCCCTCGCCAATCTGGCACACAGCAGTTCGACGTGTCCTTTTGCGGGGCAGGGCCGGCGACCGATCAACGCCCTTGTAGGTGGTGGGTTCATAAGCAGGCGAGTAGTCTGATGACGCCGATCGTTCATTTTCTGGGATAGAACGCAATGTCGATTCGAAGTCCTCAGTCCACGTCCTCAACTTCTCCATAGCTTTTAGACGCTCCTCCTGACTATTCCCCCGTCGTTCTCCAGGCGAACCGAGAGCCATAAGGGTGAACGCTAGATATTGACCGACGGCCGTGCATATATCGAGGTTGTTTGGATGTGCCGACACCTCCGGACCAGGCTCTGCTAGGTGATAGTACAGAGTCTCGGGTTCGTCCCAGTCAACTTTGAGAAACACGATGGCCTCGCCAGTAGTAAGAAGACCATATTCAAGGCCACTTTCGATCATGTAATGATATGTCTGCGTGATGGCAGATGCCGTCAGCTTCTCTGCGTGGTACTGGAAACGCGCGTCAGGGTCTACAGAAGTTGGAATCGTCCTTCGGTTTACAACTTCCTTGTGGATGTCCATGGCGCGGAGACCGAGACGAAGATGCGGAGCGGTCAACTTGTGAGGCGGCTTATACTCGGAAACGTAAACCATGGTGCGCCGGGAAGACAGGGTATTGTCGGATCGATAGACGCAGATTTGATCCGGTCGCAGCTGGTTGAGATCTCTTCGGTGGTCCGGCGTCCGTGGTGGTGTCGATGGGGTCTCCCTGTCCACGACTTCCTCAGCGACGTCGCTGAGGGCA